CCCCAGCCTGTCAGAAACGTCTGAAAGCGACGAGCGACGACGGACGAGTCCAAGAGACTATTTTTAAAAGGTCTTCACATAAAATTTCATTGAGTGAATTGGCTTTTAGCCTACCTCTAGGTCTCCTTTTTAAAAGTTATTCAGTTTATGGGGGATAAAAACGTCCCCGACAGCTCTGCTAAAAGCCTTGACGTCTCTGATGTCTTCCTAGTGTGGTGGGAATGTGGGAGAAGGTATAAGAAAGGAATGACAAATAATTTTTATTTTAATTTCAACTTTATTACCACTTTGAATTTGATGAAATAAGCATCAATATAAAAGGTACGAGGCATTTAAATGTACTGAGCTCCCTAACAATCACAGTATATTTAACATTGTGCATCAGAAGGCACAAAAACAAGTATGGTCTGTTCTAATCATAAGTGGATCACAGCCCAAATTGATAAACTCATTTCTTATCTACCATGAATACAATAATACAAAAAGACAACAAAAAAAAAAATGAGAAAAATCGTGGGCCGCGGCAGGAAATGCAATAAAAGTGTTGCACTCAATTTTTTTGTATGAACATACTGCTAATAGTTTACACAAAAATTGGTGGGTAAAGCTTCCACTCCATTTTGTGAAGTCCTAAACAAACCATTTTAATTTAGTCACACTAACAGAAGTTTAAGGTGAAAGATATGATGGCCCTTCTTGGCACTTATAAGAAAACAAAAAATGAACAATGCATTACTTGACACACTTATATCAGCGTTTCCCAGCCATTGTTATCTGATTGTTAGATGGATGACATTTCTTTTAAGACATGCTATTCTTACAATCTAAGTCACCTTGACATCAGCATGGTGAGGCGTGTGCTTGGTGGAATACTGCTTCCCATTGTGGACTTCAAGACTACCCCACCTTGTGATCAAGTGCTGAAAAGGAAACAAGAAAGTGAATAGGACATTCAGAATAAGACAGTTCGGCTGCTCAAGCGCCAGCCATGGCCACTGCTTCCTGACCCATTCTCTGGAGGAGCTTACAGGCGGGAGGCATGACACTCTTCAGGATGCAATTCAACCTGGTGGGAAGTCGAAGCATCCATTGACATCACAACTCAATTGCTGGGAACAAAACTGTGGGAATGAGGAGGCCTGGTTTAAGAAACCCAAACAAAACTTAACACTTGCTCCCCTCATTCCTTTCATTTATGCTCACTGAAAGCTCCCCCATTAGCTAAGAAAAAAATGCTTAGCCGTGTACTTTTGGTAGATAGATAGAAAACAATTGGACGACACTGTATCAAAAGAGGAAACAACATACGGAGCGGCCACTAACAAGGCATACTTCAAACATACAAAATGGGCAAGGGTGTGCGAAATTAGGCAATAACCAATCAGAATCTAATAGGCTGTGGAGTGTGATAGGCTAGGCAGAATACTATATGGCTGGAAGGCTGGGGTGAATCTTCAGGGAAACATAGTCAAAGCTCCAACACAAACTATATTATAAGATGGCTTGAGGTGTGCTGTCTTCCACGACATCTTCTTCACAGGGCCACTGTAAAATTGTCTTGACACACACACATGCACACTCACTTCTGTTTTTATGTATTTTGGACTGATAGAAGAAAGCCCTCTAGCCTGATATAAAAGCTGCTAGGACTTGGGGGAACAGGTGAGGGTGGAAGAGCAGGTCCAGAAAGAAAGCAATCAAGTCAGATTCTGATATGGTAACGCAAGGATTCGCACACCCTCAAAAGTGGATGAGGGTCACCTGATTGTATAAATACCTCAATGTGATCCAACCATAACAACAACTAAACCAGCAAGGTGCGGGACGGGCCCAATGCTTGTGATGTTGCTGACAGAAGTATTGCTCCACCTGAGGCAGGTCTGTCTAACCAATCACTGAAAAGAATACAACTCAAGATCCACACACAAACAGAGCTGCAGAACAACCAAAATCTAAAATCACCAATTACACAAACTTAATAGTTATTGAATTGCCAAAGAATGCATCTTCAGAGTGTTTAAGGGTGCATTTTAAAAGTTACTTCACAATTCCCATGAAGTGTGCAGCAAATTTTAGAATAAAACTAACAATTTATGTAGAGGTGCTGTGTCTGAGCTCTATAAATTACAAAAACAGTTGACCTCTATGTAATTTAAATATCTTATCTAGATAACCATTCAAATGAAAATAGTAAAAACTATTATTCATCTAGTCCATTTCCAAGATTTTGAGCAGCAGCGAACTTTACAAATAAGGTGCACATTGAAAATGAAGAGTTCCTAGGTTAAATCTGTACCACTTTTAAAAATTCATCAATAGGAGCAACAAAAAATAAACACATTTAATGAAAAGTTCTACACCAAAAGAAGATACTTACTTTGGTAAGTATTCCAAAAATGTATAATAGGAAAAAAGGTCAAAAATATTGAGAGGAATCAACATTTGCTTATATGAACAAAATACAATCCTGCCTGCCTCCAAACAATGACGAAAGCTATAGGCCAACAAGCACCAAGACACACCAGCTTTAGGGTTGACTTTAAATAAGCTCAAACAAAAGAAAAGAAAAGCAGTCTGTGACATGCCATTTATGTCTCATTCCACTTGACTTGAGAGGGGAGAAGGTGGCATAGATTGATAAAGGGAAGTTCTGTTTAACAGCATGCAAATCTAAAATGTAGTCTTTCAAAGTTTCACAAAAAAGCTACCTGTTAGGACTGTGATATTCCCCACACATTCACATCAGAGTTAGATAGAGATATAAGTGACGAGGAAGAGACTACATTTAAACTGAGTTTTCTGTATGTAGTAATAAATTCCACCCTCATATGAATTTATAATCCATACACTAACCTCCAATTCCAATATGAACCACGTTGGCGTGATGATGCTGATGAAAACATACTAAAAAACAAAGCAAGTACTCTTACTGTAGCATACAACACACAGATAAGCCACAGTTAACTTGCTTCAATCTATACAAGGCAGAAATAAAGATGAAACAATAAAAAAAAAAAAGAATGAGAAGACTTTAAGATTCTAGATAAATTTTGTGATATTTTGTTGCTAGTCAAAAGAATAGCACAAAGTTGAAATGTTAATTTTAAAGTAGAGAGAAACAGAGATAAGAAAGGTTAGTTAGTTGAAAAGTTAGACCCTAATAAGTAGCAATGTATTTCATGCTTGCACAGACACTACTTTGAAGGCAATAGGATAAATGACTTGTATGACTTCAAATTGGCTACCTTGCTGAAAGTTTTTGGTGCTAGATATCAGGTGGAGGCACCTGAACCATTATTTGCTATATAGATTGAATGTCCACATCACATGATCCAATATAAATGGTACACAACACCATTTTGTATTAGATGATTTTTTTCCTTTTAATCATTGAGAAAGCTGTTAGGTTACTGAGATACAGAGAATTGACAGTAACATGAAGTAAAATAAACTATTTCCTCGCAACAAAGGGAAATTTTGGATGATGTGAGGTGAACAGATACAAATATTGATCTAATTTTAATGAAGTCACTTACCTTTCAGAGAGAGCCTGTACCTCAGTGATCAGTGATTGTCGTTGTGCCCATCTTCATAAGCATCCTGCATATGACGGCTTCTTGGAACTTCCTCATCATAACCTTTGCGGCCATCATCATAACCATCGCGATCATGACGGTGTGATCTGCTACTGTGATGACTCTTGCTGTGTCTTGAAGCTTCCCCATTCATTCCTTTCGGTGGAAGTAACAAATAAATCAATTAATTTGAACCAAATGTGTTCCAGTGTAGACATGACATAACTACACTGTAGATATATGAATGTTAACTCACCTTTTTCTCGCCTGTGGCGATCTCTATCTTCCTCTCGCCTATATTCATGCTGGTCATCACCCCGGTCTCTCCTGTATGACTCCTTCCAATCACGGCTGTTTTGCATAGAAGAAGACCTGTGGTGTGGATAAAATTTCCATTGAGTACTGATGAAATAGACATGCTAAACTGTGGCACATAAGAGAATAAGAAATAACAAACTACCAACTTCCTTACCTGTGTTTTTCCTTTTCACGGTCTCTCTGTTCTCTACCATATTCCCTATATCGGTCATCATGACGATTTGGCCTTTCACGTTCTCTGTCTCTGCTTCGGCTCCTCCGGCGGTGCCTACCAGGACTCCTGAAAACAGAATTAAAGTTTGACATAACTTAGAAATGACAAATTAAAAAAAAAAAAAAACGTCAAAAATTCAACAGGCGGCAAGATCTTGCCTATCTCGATTTCTTCTCCTTAGAGCCTCTTCCTCTTCTTCCCGACGTTTCCTCCTCTCATCTCGTTCTCGCTCTTTGCGCTTCTCCTCCTCATCTCTTGCTCTATATCTTTCTTTTCTTTCGTCTTCTCTGCGCTTTTCTTTCTCCTCTCTTGCTTTGTTCCTGTTTGCCTTAAAATATAATAGGAGCTATGTTTAGTGCACAGAATCCACATCTAGATAAAGGATTTCAATTGTTCTACTATGGTACCTGGATTTCGTCAATGGCTTGTCGAAGTCTAGCATATCCCATGTGCTGTTTGCCCATGAGATGGTCATCAATTCTAGACTGAGCATCACCAACAATAAGAAAAGCACCACAGACATCACAAACTTCCATTTGTTTCTCTTGCGCTGCTGCTAAATCTGCAGTCTACAAAACAACAAAAAACCAATCAAAAGTCAATATAATAATCACAAGTAACGATATGGCACTTCATTTTTATTTAGTCAGACATACCTGTTGCCAATGACTATTGTCATTTTGTTTCCGAAGTTGCTCTCGCTCCTCTTTCAATTTATCACATAGTTTCATCAAACCTTGAGCTTCTTCAACTTTACCTTGCGTACCCATTTGCTCAGCTTCGCTAACTAGATTATTAATTTTTTCAGAGAGTAGATTTATTTGCTCAGTGTTTCGCTGTGTTTGGGCAGGGGTCAAGGAAGCCTGTAAATCAAAGAGTAAATACATGTTATTGAGGTAATTAATGAAAGTCTACTTTTGATAAAACCACAGAAAAGTAGCACTCACTGTATCGGCCTTCCCTATCAAAGCAAGACGAGATTTTCCTTTGGATATTTTGCGTTCTACTTCACTGACCATACCCTGGCAAAATCTCACAAAGTCATCTTCATACTGTTGTTTCTTGTAACTGGTAGACTTCTCAAATTGATTTTTAGCTTCATCGTCATGTAAGCGGGAACATGCTCCTAGATCAGCCCGAGTGTTCACAAACAAATCATGTGGACAAAACTTGACCATATGCATCTTGCAGAACTGGAAATAAAAAACAACAACAAAGAAACATACAAGTAAGAACAATGAATGGAAGTATACGATTAAAATAAACAGGAAAAAAATATATTCTGTACTTGTTTGCAGAGGTTATGATATGCAAGTATACAGTAAACAAAGTGTTCTGAGGGAGAAAAATGGATCATTGAGAGTAGAAAACTACCGAAATGGACATAGATTACTCAAAAATGCTATGAAAACAGGGGTTTCATCAAAATTTCCATAATTATGAAAATGCGGCAGACGCTGTGTGGTGTGGTGTTCTTAAGTCACGCTGGTAAACCGCACACAATGTCAAGGTGAATTTACTATTAAAATGTAATTTAGACTTACCTCTGGATCTTCCCAATTAAGATCTTTCTGTTTATCGCCCACTGCATTTCTATTTCTCCCCATAAGCTCATCGAGCAAAGCAGCAGCAGCTAGGACCGCCATCTTGTTTGACAGCAAGACGACGACAAAAAAAAAATTAAGAAAAAACAGCACAACCGAAATCACTACGGATACCGATACTATTGCAGTTGAAGAAATCGCGGTTCACTAGGAAGAAGACTGGGAACGAGAGCCACGAGACTATGCGGATTGCTGATGAGAAATTTAGGGTGCACTCAGAAGGCGGGCAGCGGGCAGCCGACTCTACACAGCTGCCTGGCGGGATGGCCTACCCAGCTCTTTGCAGGCTCCATCATCTTCCATCAATCATCAACCGGATGATAGCGTCGTGGTTACATCAGCGCCGAGTCAATCGCCGGGACTTAGTCGTTGTGGCCCAAAGTGTCGCTCTCCCAGCGACCAAGTCCCGTCTGACCTCTCACTAAAGCAACGCCCCCCAAAAGTTTTGCACTTCAAATCGCACAAATTATGTGTCGCTTGAACAAAAAAAGCAATTCTTCGCACTATTTTTTGTTTACCAGTCAGCCACAGCGTAGTATGGCTCGTCCGCTGAAGCGTCACTTCGTACCTCGCCTCTATGGCTCAGTCAGTAGCGCGCCCGCTACCCCGTATCAAAAATCAAAAAGGTCGCCGTCTGAGATTTTAGAGGTTGCACTCTCGAAACATCATATTGACCTCGCAACGACTCTGTGCAAAATCTAGGCGCTACCAGCCAACGCTTTTCCGGCCCAGATCGCATTTGCAGTTCGGAACTTGGAGCGGCCGTGTTTTTTTATGTTATTTCTTTGTGGATGTTAGGGCTTTGATGGCCAGACCAAAACCGTTCTGAATGCCAGGTAGCGCCAACGTTCCAATTGGGTTTTTTGAAAAAATGTTTTAAGTAGGGCATTTGTGTCTGTGGTGATGTCAGAAAGACCACCCACAATACACGCCTGTACACTTTTTCGCCAAGCTGCCAGGCGTTTTCCTAATTATTTGAATTTTCACCGCGAAAAAAAAAAATATCAGTGTCCATATGCGATTCGGGCTGAAAAAGCGTTGTCTGGATTTTGCACAGTGTCATTAAAAGTTCAATACGATTTTTAGAGGGTGCAAACTCGATTACTATTTTTGTTTATATACAGGCTAGCGCCCGCCCAGAGCGTGGAAGGTCGGAGGTTCGACTCTCCGTCGATTTGAAGTTTTTCTCAGACCCCCAAATATCAAAAGGACTTCCAACCCGTCATTTCATCAAGTCTCCATCGTGAAGTTCCGACGGTAGTTACCATCCTGGTGTCACTGCACCGAAAGGTCAATGTCTCGACATCCAGAAATGTGCCGCACTTCATATTTTATTGCGGAATTCCTGAGCTATACGGAGGCCATTTTTGTGAAATCGACGTTTTTTGATGGAATCGTTGATTCTGAATCCCGCGATGAAATTAAGGTTCTGTGTGCTGTCCTCGCTGCTGTCGTTTGGTGTTGAACCAAAAGGGACGTGTTGTAATCATAAGAAAGAAAGCGTATTTATATCAACATTCACTGTGTCTTAAACTTTATTATTTACACATCATACAATTTGGTACCTGTACAAATAAATATATTTCGATGGCCTCACAACAAATTTACATTAATTTATACATTAGAGCTGTGATGAAACATGGCCAGCATACTGTTGCACTTTAATAGTAAGCAATTAAAATAGCAAACAAATTATTTAGAAAGTGAGACCAAAGTAAGTATAACGAGATCAAAAATCCTATTGTGAACATTTGGATAGCTCTGAAGTAATCATTTAGCTTTTTCCAACTTTTACATGATTCCGTTTATAGAACAAGGTTCTGCGTGTATGCAAGATGTACGATTTACAGCATATCTGCAGCGACAAATTTTCACGTATTGTAATTTCTACAGAAAACGAAAGAAACTGCGCACACATTTAAAAAATATTGAATGAAGCAATTTTGAAAACATTTTCAGGCTGATCAATCTATTAATCGAACGTTAAATAATCAAATAAAGGTTGGCCGCTCTAGAAACTCAAGTGTGATACAGTAGAACAGTTGAGCACAATATCAGGTGTTTTACCACGCACCTGGAATTCCCCACGTGTATCCGTGTCACACTTACAAATTTGAGACCAGACTTAAAAGCGCGCACTCATGGTACGGGTGATAGAGTGAGACACATGTGGTCTCACACATGTGTTATACACTTGTCATATGCCAGTTGAGAGTGTGACACGCCAGGAATTGTACTTACAACTGTCAGACTGTATCACACTTGAGTATCTAGGGCGCATTGTGGAAGTAGCTTTTCACTTTACGACGTAGCCTAATAAATCCAAAGCCACGATCTGCGCTTTTTCATTGGGCGTGGATATCGATTGGATATGGTGAAAATAACTGGAAGGCCGTCGAGAAGCGAAACTACTTCTCAACAATGTAGGTTGAGTAGATTGCTTTTCGATCTCTAGCACCATGGGAAACAAGACAGGTGTGAAGCCGGAAAATCGCCAAAAGGAGTTTAAAAAATGAGTAATATTTACAACTTTTTAATTTGATGTTCACAGTCCTTACCGATCTTTGCTTGCATAACCACACAATCCCACACAGTTGGAGCAACTTTTGGCAAAGTATTGATTTGTAGTAACAAATAAATGTCCACTTTTGACAAAAACAATAAATGAAAAAATAATTTAGAAACAACACTTCAATTGGCATTTTAGTGTAAAGGAAAGCCCCCCCAAAACTCATGATAAGAACAGTTTACTGCTGGAGAGGAATGTATTCGTCTCACATTTTCTAGCGTCCGACGATCTATTTACGCTGTTTACAGTACACATAGAAAAACAAGGTAGGGCGTTGCACCTTTCTTGGGATGTCGAGGAGGTTCCAACTTCAATGCCTTTGTAAAGGTATCACAGAGATTCCAAGGTGCAGTTCTTTACGGATTTTTAATGTTGATCGTGAGGCATTAAAGCGGGCTGCTTTGAAAAGATGGGAAGTCCTCCTTCGTTTTTCTGGTGAAAAAGTGACACCAAAGCCTTCTTTCTTCCCTTTTCCAAAAATCAAAAATCACTTGACCAAGAGAGAGTAAGTATACAGACCTTGGGGTCCAAGTGCCTTTTTTTGCAATGTTTAAAGACATATCCTATTTAAAAATTTAAATATCAAAATAGGGGATATATTAACATCAGCAATTCCATACACCCAGCGCGCCTCAACTGTGCGACAGCAAAATAAATCGTCTTGCAGCTCAAGTTTTCAGTTTCTTGTCAATTGGCAATCCTCCCCCACTCTTTATCCATCGCAAATGAGAGTACGGCGGCGACGTAACTCGTCCACCATACCACGGGCGGCTCGCGTCGCGTCGCTCGACTCAAACGAGGCGTATTTATTTGTTTTAGAGAATATAGACGCGATTGGCAGGCATCGTTCGTCACGCCCGCCGCCGCACCTGCTGCTCGCGCGCCGCCCGCGAGACGGACATATGATGGATGCGATTGGTGGGCGCGACAAGGACAAGGCGCGGCGGCGCGGCACAAGTTTATTGCACGACAAAGGAAGTCACGCGGCGGAGGCGGCGGCCCGGGGCCTTAATCATGGCTGCCGAGGAGGGAAATTTATGCCAAATCGATGTTAAGCTGCAACTATGTTCCACACCGCACCGTGGTGTACGCGGCGAGGGGTGGAGGTGAGGGGGAGGGCGGAGGGGTCGCCTACGCGCTCCTCCTCAGGTCGGCGGGGATGTCCTCAAAACCGTGACGTGCGACGTCAAATTTGTCCTGTTCGATTATCACGTCGATCTCGCCTCTTCCTAGGGATCGTCCAGAAAGCAAATCGTTTTTTCGCGTCTTTTTTTTATCTCTCAGATTAGGTTAAGCGCCTGCGAGACGCGGGGTAGGCCAGCCCGCTGTACACGCATGCACATCGGGCAAGGTACTGCCTACCTACCCGGCGCTACGAGAGCTCGCGCAAGGCTGCACTTGCCAGGTTCGGCGCGGCGAGTGACGGGACGTCCTTCCTGGATGACCCCTTCGCGGGTTTGGAGGTGGTGGCGGTGGGGGTGGGGGGCAGTTGCAGAGGCCTTCAGCAGCGGGGAACAGGCCGTCTGAGGAGAGTGCCGCCACGGATTAAACCCATTTGAGTTGAAGTGGGCGGAGGGGGGGTCGGGATGAGGAAAATTGAAGAGCCTCGTCGACATATCCGAAGCAGCTGAACCATTAGGGCTGACAGCTCTTAGGCCTCCGAGCAGCGTGGCTGCAGGTGTCTTACAAAGTTTGGGTCGCGAGTTAAGGCGAATATCTCGGCTGCTGCGCCCCGACGGACAAACTCCACTCCATTCCCCGGGGCCGCTCGGCTGGGCTGCTCTGTGGGCGAGGCAGGGATTTGGACGGTGGTACAGGTGTCGGCAAACAGACGCTGCTCTTGCCCTGGGATAAGTACAGGGGAGGATCGTCTAAAAATACCGTCCGGCGGGTGCGGTAAAGAGCACGAGTTGGGAAAGTATACTCTTTGTGGGGTTGAAGGTCGAGAGAAAGGGGAAAAGAGCGGAGGAAGGGACGGAGGGGGGGGGGGGCTCAGACAGCCACGCTGCCGTGACGTGTGAGTCTGTACACGGGCCGCTGCGAGGCGCGCAGAGCGCGAAGCAGCGTCGCTGTCAGGCTGATGCGATCTGGCAGTCAATGCAGATGAGCGTCTCACGGGGGCAGAGGGGAGGGCGTGTCTGCTGACTGAGGTGAGGGGTGTGGGGGAGGGGGTAGTTGGTGGGGTCACTGCAAAGAGCGCAAGCGCAGCCTGCAGCCCGTGACGTCATCGCGCTGATGATATGTAGGCTGGACGTCCAGCCGAACGACCCATAAAACGGCTGGGGCACCACAGGGCGAGCGAGCCGAACACCGCCGCGCGCAAAACCACGGCACAAGACATGACACCACACACGAGTTCTCTTTTGTCACACACAAACATGTGTTTTATATCACACGAGAAGACAACTGAATGGAATTAAGGTATCACCATGTTCTTTATTTTTTCTCCTTCTTAAACGGGAAAACGTTCGCAAAATAAGACAAGGAAAAACGACGCCGGTCCCAACGGCAGTCGTATGAGCAGTTTTTTTTAAACAGCAGAGCTGAGCACGTCTGGGTTGCACGATATGACGAGGGATATGTAGTTGGCGGGGAGATTCAGCGTCCTCGTTCCGCTAGTGTTCTCAAGCACTTGGGAGCACCGAGTCACGCCGGAGGACGGCGGGCGCCCCGGGCGCCGGTCGAGGTGGCCGACGACGAAGAGGGGGCGGCGGGACGCTGCCCCTGGCCGCGGGTCGTCGTGGTCGTCGTGGTCGCCGTGTCGTCCTCGTCCTCGCCGCACACGGGGCCTCCGGGGGGACTGCGGTCGCCGCCGAGCTGTTACCGGGAGACGAGGGTCGCCGTCGTGGAGGCGAGGAGCACTAGGACCGCCAGAGGCCCCAGCCTGCACCCCGCAGCTGCAAAACAAACAAACAATATTACTTTTATAAACGTTTACTAAAAAAATTGCTGAAAAAAATTGGAGCAGAGGAAATGGAGCACGGAGCTGATCCCTCCTAGTGGCTGTGACTAGCGCCATGCACACAGAGCGCACCGTGTGCTTGGCGCACGTATTCTATTACGGAATGGGTCCCTAACTACCTCGCTTGAGCGTGGCGCGAGGCGTGTTGCACGGTAATGTGTGTGGTCTCTCTATGTGTGTGAGCGGCGCGGGGCGTGCACACTAAATCTGAAAGGACTTTATTATTGTCCATAGAAAGACGCGTTTTTGTGCACATCTCAACCGAATGCAGATTTGAATCCAGCAAGTGAAGAATTAGCATCCTTTTTCTGGACACTTATTTTTTTGTCCATCATAACGATCTAAATTGCTGAACAGTAAAAGTACTTTCATGAAAGTAAATCTGCAGATTTAGTGTGTGCAGCTTGGAGTTTCGGGCGCGGGGCTCTCCCTAACAAGGAAACCCTTTCAGGTTTAAATCTCCGATTTCGTTGAAACTTGGAAAATTTGGAGGTCATTTATGTAGAAATCGGAGGGCACTTGAAATTTTCTCCTAAATCTCACAACTTTTCTTCCCCTTTGTAGATTAGAAGTAAGGTTTTCGAAAAAGATATTTAAAAAAAAATGTAAAGCAGTGTTCTAATGGGTAACTCGTCAAAGTAGTGCCCTTTAATTTTGTCCTTTTTGCTCTATTTTGAACCGTTAAGGCGGTAGAGTGATATTTGGGACGAAAAAAAGTGTAAGGCTTAAGTAAACCCCTAGTAACTGTGAAGTTTAGCAAAAATTTCAAGTGCCATCCGACTTCTATTATAATAACCTTTAAAATTTTCCGAGTCCCAACGAAATCGGAGATTTACACACTTGAAAGGTTCCCTTGTAGGTATGAGTGCGGCCAGGCTATGCTCTCGCGGACTCGCTTTGATAATGGGCTGATACACTCCGCGTAATGAGAGCCGTGGCGGTGCCGCCTCCACAATACCACCGCGGCTGCTCGAATGGCCCTCCAACGCCGCCGAGCTCCGCGCCCCGCAGAAGGGGCCGCGCACACACACACACACACATACGCTCGGCCGCACCCTCATGCTTGCGCTCGTCAGAACACCCCGACCGCTAAGTGCTTTTGCTCGTATCGCTAGATAACCATAGACCAGGTGGCGGCGGCGGCGGCGGCCGGGCCGCCCCTTCGTCGGGTCGCCACCACGCGGCTTCAACTTGTTTGTTTAAATATCTGCTTCCGGTCGCAAAGGTACCGGCATTGCATGCAGGCGTGAGCAGCTTCGGAGGAGGAAGCAGGCGACCCAACAGAGGTGGCCGCGAGGGCGGAGTGTGCGCCCCGCTCGGGCGTCCAGCCCTCGGGGCGTCAAGCCTATGGACTGGCGTGGTGAGTGCCAGCCAAATCCCCCGCCGCAGTACCGTCGTACACCCCACCCCTTCAAAGTCCCCCACAAACTCATTGGAGCCCCGAGGAAAAATACGAAAGGGCCGAAATCAAATTACGCGCCACTATATGAAATCAGGCGCAAGCAACACACACACACACACACACACACACACACTCTCTCTCTCTCTCTCTCTCTCTCTCTCTCTCTCTCTCTCTCTCTCACACACACCTTCCCTCTGTGGTGGCAGCCTCCTCCCACACCCTGCCGTGCCACACGGAGGGCGTGGGCGGCGGGCGGAGGGTGCTCGCCCGGGTCGGCTCGCCGCACAGCAGCAAGACTCAGCACAAAGTTGGACCTGGACCACGCCGCCGCCAAGCTGGGCCGGGCCGGGCAGGCCTGCCCGCGCCAGTAATCCGCCCTTGTCAGTTTGGCTGGACACCAACGACCTTTGCGCACCTCTCTCTCTCTCTCTCTCTCTCTCTCTCTCTCTCTCTCTCTGCACTCGCTGCGCCATTGCTTTTCTTTTGTTTCCTTTTCGCACTCTTTTTCTGCGTGTTCTCCACCACCCACCCAGCCCCGCGCTGGGCGTCCCCACCCCCTCCCCCCTCATGGCTTTATAGTGGTACTTGAGCCCTCGCACACCCACATGTTGCAGCTGCAAGCGGAGCAGTGCGGAGCGGGGAGAGCGCCGGGCGGAATTGCGTGCCATCTCCATACGCTCCACATCTATCTATCTATCTATCTATCTATCTATCTATCTATCTATCTATCTATCTATCTATCTATCTACCTACCTATCTATCTATCTAGCATTTAAAGGATAAACTTAAGAAATGGTCTCTTGGGACACATTCTTCAAATAATGCCAGAACAAGTTTTAGATTCTTAGAATTTATGTGCTTGCACTACAGATATTTCCTTGAATAAAGATGAATTATTCCACATCCACGGATTGGACGTTTGGTTCAAGGCGCTGGAGCATTTCTTTGTAAGGCGCTGAACAGTTTGAACAGTGTGAAGGCTGGAATGGTCAACGCAACACTAACAGCCCACTCTGAAAAAACTGAAGTTACCTGTCAGCTACGCCACGCCACTAGGCCACAGCCTCTGGCCTCCACGTGGCATTGGCGTGGAGTGGAGTGGCGAGTGAAGTGGCGTTGCGTGGCGCGGGGGCGTTCTGGCGAGGTCGCTGCGTTTGCGGTGCCGCCCACACGCGTGGTCCGTTGGGGTAGGAGGCTGTGCCTCCGCTTCCTCCCCCTCCACTACCAACCCGTCCATGGGGCCTAACGCGCATTCCCCACGCCTGCCCAAACCCGGACGGGTGCCAGCGCGCGAGCCGCACACAGAGGAAGTAGCACCAATTGTTTGCCGCTCATCCCCGCAGCCGAGCGGCCGCGCCGCGCACACCCGCCGCATACGAAGGCAAAACGCAAACGTTATTCCTAGAAAGCGGCAGAGCGCGTGCTGGCTCGCCCCCCTCCCCCACTCCTTCCCACAAAACACCACCACCACCACACACACAGCGGTGCGTGCGCTATTGCTGCTTCTGTTGTGCGAGACACATGGGGGGTGGGAGTGAAAAAGTTCCCCCCTCCCCGCCGAGCCCTCTGCAACCCCTGCTGCTGCGAAATCACTCCACGCCCCCCTCACGACCCCCGGACCCCCTCCACAACGCTGACACTAATGATGACGTGTCCGAAAACGTCGACCCGTGCGCGGTGCCACTTTTTGCCGGCGCCGGCTCCCGATCTACTGCTATTGAAAAACCCCACGAATAATGAGAAAGATGAGAAATAATAGTAACAAAAAACAACAACAAAACAATTTAGAGTATTTTTTCCTCTTCTCGCACCCGTGCAGCGGCATGACTCCCCCACCTGCCACATCTTGGAGCGTCGCGCGTAAAACTTGAACGCTTCAGCTCTCCTCCCGCCTCTGCTTGGCACGCCCAGCAGGGGCGGTGCAGTAGTACGGTCCAGGTCGGAGGCGCGATGCTCTGGACGATCCTTCACTTTTACTCCGCTGGGGCAGGTGGGG